AGCTGACTAGCACTTTGCCCCTTAATTGGGCCGGCCCGGTAAGAACGGGGATTAGTCTGAGTATGGTATGGACTTAAAGGTACTTCCTACATTTAGGGCCTGCTTAGGACACCTCGTGGTTTGACAAAATTTTTTTTTAATATCATAAAAACGAATCTAGAGTATTTTGAAAATGGACCAGTAGCATAGTGAGAATAAACTTAATACAATGACTTAATATAATCATATGTTAATTTAAAACATTAAAATAAAAATATTAATATAGGTGTCATTTAAAATATTTTAATTAGAATTTTTTAGTAATATATTTTTTATATATTAATTTCGTTTGTATAAAAATGAAAAGGAAAAATAAACTTAAGTTTGAAAAAAAATTAATTTGATTTAGCTTTCAAGCTGATTAATTGTCCATGGTATAACAATCCTTAGATCGTCTCACATGAGATAAGTAATATTTCTTTTAAAAAATGTAATAATTTTATATGTGCCAACAAATATTATGTTTTTGGAAAATATATCAAATTAGTCGTCTAAGTTTAACAAATAGTACAATTAAATTCTTTAATTGAACCAGGACTATGTGGTCCAATGGTACCCGGGTTGGACTTCCATTTGGAAGGTTGTAAGTTCGAGCCTCAGTGGAGGCGTTATTAGCTCTTTGTGTTTCAGTAGGTTGAGAAAGTATATAAACAGATACTACAATGTAATAGAGCTAGTAGCATTCAAAAAAAAAAAAAAAAAAAAAAAATTCTTTAATTGAAAATTTTCAAAAAAAAAAAAAAAAATTCTTTAATTGAAAAAGAAAAAAACTTTAATAAGGTCTCCTAAACAAGTAAAATAATGTAATTAGACTCTAATATTACCTGTTCAGCATGTTATGGTTGATATGTGACAGACTAGGTTAACACACGACGTCTCAGTGCTTACATGAATTCTATGCGTGCATTTTTTCTTCTTATTTTTTTCAATTTTTAACTTTTTTATTACAAAAAAAATCACAAATGGTCATGTGATTATTTTTATTGACAGATAGCCTATGACTATCAATCAACAGACAAGACGATCATAATTGTCTAAATTTTGACTTCAAAGAGGTCCAAATTTGCATAAACAGTTGCCTTTATCAATTTTGAACTTCATTAAGGTCCAAATCTAGACAAGTATGGTTGTATTGTTCGTTGACAGACATGCTACAATTCTTTCTAATTTTTTTAAAGAGTTAATACCCAAAATCGTCCTCGACTATAGTGGTTTTTCTCAATTTCGTCCTAAACGATTTTGGTGACCTAATATCGTCCAAGACTTTTGTGTTTCGCTCAATTTAGTCCTCCATTTGTTATTCCGTCAAATTGGTGTTAAATTAAGGAACAATTCAGTAATGTCAATATTGATCTCTCTTTACTTTCAACATGTGAAGTGCGAAATTCCTCTTTCTTGTACGAATTACACCCAGAATTACTCCCGGACCTGCAAATCAAATTTTATATTCGCAGTTTTAGGAGTAATTCTGGGAGTAATTCGTTAAAAAAAAAAGGGATTTCGCAGTTCACATATCTATGAGTAAAGATATGTCAATATTAAAATTACTGAATTATCTATTTATTTAACACCAAATGGACAGAATAACAAATGATGGACTAAATTGAGCAAAAATACAAAAGTCTGGGACTAAATTGAGCGAAACACAAAAGTCTAGGACGATATTAACTCACCAAAGTCGTTTAGGACGAAATTGAGAAAAACCACTATAGTCGAGGACGATTTTGGGTATTAACTCTTTTTTTAAATTAAAAAAAAAAAATTATATATGCATGTAGGATAATCCACATAAGCATTGGGATGTCACATGTTAGTTTATTCGGAAAGGTGTCAAATTGCCCACCTAAGTCAAGTGGATAATGCAATTGAAAGCATATGATGTGGAACCGTGTCCATCTTGCAAGGTGTACACGGTTCTATGTTCATAATTATTGAACTATATGTTCATAATTATAAAGCTATATATTCATAATTTTTGAACTTCATATTCATAATTATTGAACTCTATATTCACAATTACAGAACTCTATGTTCATAATTATTGAACAATATGTTCTTAATTATAAAGCTATATATTCATAATTTTTGAACTTCATATTCACAATTATTGAATATCTATATTCATAATTAACGAACTATATGTTCATAATTATGTTCACAACTCTATGTTCATAATTATAGACCTATATGTTCATAATTTTTGAACTATATGTTCATAATTTTTGAACTATATATTCATAATTATGAACAATTTTGGAACCGTTTCCACCTTGCAAGGTGGACACGGTTCCACAGTCTAATATGACGTGCAATTCGATCCCTTAAAAAAAAAAAAAAAAAAAAAAAAAAAAAACTCCATTCAAGTCTCTTAAACCGGTAAAATTGTTCAATTAAGTCCAAATTAACTTGTTTGTCAAGTTAAACCTATGCAGTGTTAACATGTGTCCTTTTTATTTTAATTTATTTTTAAAACAAATGTTTTTTTATTTATTAAAATTAAAAATATTATTTATTATAAATAAATAAATAAATTAAAAAAAAAACAGCCACCAACTGTCCGCGCCAGACAGCCGGTGGCTGTTTTTTTTTAGTTTATTAATTACTTTATTTATAATAAATAATATTTTTAATTTTTAATAAATAAAAAACATTTGTTTTAAAAAATGAAATAAAATAAAAAGGACACGTGTCAACATCTTATAGGTTTAACCTGATAATAAACAAGTCAATTTGGACTTAATTGAACAATTTTACCGGTTTAGGGACTTGAATGGAGGAGATTTGTTTTTTTTTTTTTTTTTTTTTTTTTTTTTTTTTTTTTTTTACTTAGGGGACCCAATTAGACTATCCACTCGACTTAGGTGGCCAATTTGACACTTTTCTCTAGTTTATTTAGCACCACATCAGCAACAATGTGCTGTATAGATAACATTAGGGTCTAATTGCATTATTTTACTTGTTTAAAGGACCTCATTGATTTAAAAAAAAAATTATTTAAGCGACCTAATTGTATTATTACTTAGATAACCATTTTGACACTTTTTCTTTTTTTTTTTTTTTACTTTTCAAGAAACAATTTTTTTTAGTAAAAATATATTTATTGGCCCAAAGAAAAAGTATTACATATTTTGAAACATTTAATTTCAGTTTTAGTTCTATAACTATTAGAGTCTTGTTAATTTCAATCTATAACTTTCAAAACTGTCAATTAGTACCTTAAATATTAATTTTTTTTATCAATTTTGGTCACTCTAGTTAAATTGTCGTTCAAAACTCACCAAAAAATATTAATAGGTAAAATAAAGAGGGTATTTTAGTCTTTTTACTTCTCTTTTCTTTCTTCTTTAAAATACCATCATTATTTTATCTATTAATATTTTTCGGTGAGTTTTGACCGACAATTTAGCCAGAGTGACCAAAATTGATAAAAATTAAATAATTAAAATACTAAATTGATAGTTTTAAAAGTCGTGAATTAAAATTACCGAACTCAATATATAGTCATAGGACCAAAGTAAAATTAACTCTATTTTGAAATCCATCCAACGTGAATTTGTATTGTTCGTTGACTGACAAGCTAAAATTGTTTCTAATTTTTCCTTAAATTAAAAAAGAATATATATGCATGTAGGATCCACATAAGCATTGGGATGTCACATGTTAGTTTATTTAGTAGCACATCAGCAATAATGTGTGGAATAAATAACATTAGGGTTTAGTTGCACTATACTACCAATCATTATTCTATGGACCATGGTCCACACAAGTTGTGTAAACTATATTTTGTCTGTACATTAAATACAAAAATAATGTACATTCAGTACAAAAATAATGTACATTGTATTTAGGGGATGTACATTATTTTTGTTTTGAGTGTACATTATATTGTATAATGTACATTCAGTACAAAAATAATGTACATTTAGTATATCAAAAATGTACTTTTTGTTATGGTCCACATAACATTGCGTGGACCATGGTCCACACAATAATTTGCCCTATTTTACTTGTTTAAAAGACCTCACTGATTTGGTTTTTAAATTTTATTTAAGGGACCTAATTGTACTATTTGTTATACTTAGATAACTAATTTGACACTTTTTCTTATATTCTTTTACTTTCCAAGAAACAAATAATATTTTTTTCAGTAAATAAATAAATAAATAAATAAATAAATAAATAAATATATATATATATATATATATATATATATATATATATATATATATATATATATATATATATATATATATATATAGGTAGATGCTCATATGCGGTCATGGCCTTAGGTGAGGCGGTGAGGTCATTTTCCAGGCGTTGATCAACTTTAATCTAACGGCGGCGGCATATTATTTGAATTAAGTAAAGTTTGTCGCGCTTTTGGTAAGCGGGGGCGTTTCAGTAATTTCATTGGATGGGGACGTGAATGTATAAAAGCTGGCTTATTTTGTGTGATTTTAAGCACGGAAGGAGAGAGAGATCAAGACCTCGTTCGTGATCGCGTCGTAATTGGAAGAAGATCAAGATCGCGATCGTGTTCGTGATCGCGTCCCAATTGCAATTCAGAGAATATCGCTGGAGATCACAATCGGAAGTTGGACGAGATATCAGTTGCGTTTGCAATTAGAGAATATCGCAGTTGGGAGAATATTGAAATTGAGCGATGGAACCTGGTATGTATTGAATTGCTTATGTTGTAGTTTTAATTTGTCTTTTGTATTATTATGTGTTTGTTATGATTTGGAAGTTTATCGCATGTTTTTTTATGATTTTGCTGTGTATCGGTGTTGACTATGTTGCTGTGTGTTGTTCTGTGATTACGGTTTACTTTTTGTATACTCGTGGTGCATATATTATTTGATGGTGTGTATGACAGTATTAGATTTTATGCATGTATAATGTGCATGTAGGTAGGGTTATTCGTGTGGTATTGGATAAGGTGTGGTGCTTTATTAGTTAACATGTGGTGTGCAGCTGCTGATTTGGAATCTTTTGGTATTTGCGATAAAGATAATTCAACTGATGTTTGTGGAGAAGGCAGTGGTGGTGTTTGTGATGAAGGTAATCCCACTGATGTTGGTGTAGAATGCAATGGTGATGATTGCGATGAAGGTAATGTGACTGATTTTGGAGTAGTAGGCAGTGGTGTGGGTTGTGATGAAGATTATTTGACTGATGTGGGTGTACAAGACAGTTTATGTGTGTTGGAAATTTCTCCTGGGCTGACTAAGTATTGGTGCCCAGTTTGTGCTGACAGTTTGAAGCCTATCGTGGGGTAACAATTTGTTTTTTGGATGGTGCTGTTCTGTTTTATAAACAATATGCTGGGACTCTTTGGTTTGATTGTAGGCAGCACTCAATTCGGAAGATTAGGGATGGTGTTGCTGTGGAGAAGCATGTAGTATGTAACCGTCAAGGTTTTAAGCAGACGGTTTCTAGTGTTGCTAAAACTACTTTGGCGAGGAGACGGAGGGTGACAAATAGGGTTGGTTGTAAGGCTAAGGTTGTGATAAAGCGTAAGTCTAATGGGTTGTATGTTGTGCATTATTTTGAGGAACGTCACACCCATTCGATGTGTTCAATTACTGCTAGGCAATTTTTAAAGGTGAATCGTAGCTTTGATGCTGGGCACCAAATGTTTATTGCGAGTTGTGTTCGGGCAAATATTGGTTCTGTTCGGTCATATAGGTTGTTTAAAGAGATTGTTGGTGAGTATTCCAATGTCGGGGCTACAGGTGTGGATTTTAAGAATTTCAAGCGTGACCTGATGGCGTACATTCTAAATGGTGATGCTCAATTATTCATAGATACGCTATTCAAGAGATGTGAGTTGTGTGAGGCTTTTGATTTTGAATATGATGTTGATGAAGGTGATCAGCTTTCAAGGGTTTTTTGGGCGGATGTAGTATCTAGGAAGAATTTTGCGTTGTTTGGTGATTTGTTTCATTCGATGCTACATACCGTACTAACAGGTTAGTATTTATTTTTATTGTGCATGTTGTATATTTCTGTGGTGCATGATTCCATACCTTATGGTGTGTCTTGTTAGAAGTATGGTGTTGATTGATTGTTGTGTTGTAGGTATAAGTTGGTTTTTGTTCCATTTACTGGAATTGATAACCATAAGAGATCCATCACCTTCGGTGCTGGTTTGCTTACGAGGGAAGATGTAGACTCATATGTGTGGCTTTTGGAGAAATTTAAGAAAACTATGTGTCATGACCCTATTTGTGTTGTTACTGATCAAGATCCAGCTCTCAAGGTTGCTGTTGCTCGTGTGTTTGGTACATCAAAACATAGATTTTGCATGTGGCATATAATGTGCAAGGTTGGTGAGAAGGTTGGACTGATTCTGTGTAAAGATGAAGTGTTTAGGAGGAAGTTGAATGACATTGTCTGGAACAAATCACTGGACTCCAAGTCTTTTGAGGATGCACGGAGTTGTATTATGGAGGAATATGGTTTGGGTGACAATGGTTGGTTTCGTTACTTGTTCGAGTCTCGTACATATTGGGCATCCCCATATTTTCACGACGAGTTTATGTCAGGATTGGTTAGGACAACGTCTCGATCAAAGTCTCAAAATAGTTTTTTTGGTACGTTCTCTAATGGTCATTCTAGTTTGGTTGAGTTCTTGGTGCATTTTAGAAGTGCTGTTGGTGCGCAGCGTCATACACAAGCAAAATTGAATGCTGATTGTGAATCTTGTTTTCCTGTTTTAAAGACACCATTGGCTTTGGAGAAGCATGCAATGGATGTTTACACCATTTCTGTATTTTATGATGTTCAAGTAGAGATTTGTGCAGCTTGTTATTCGTGTCAAGTGGTGTCTTTGTGTGATTGTGATGGCCATGTGTCCTATGGGATAAAAGATGGTGCCCAACGGGCATGGTATGTGGAGTTAGTCTTGTCTGATTATACTGCTACGTGTTCTTGCAAGATGTTTGAGCGGATGGGGTTGTTGTGTAGGCATATTTTTTGTGTGTTTAAAGATCGTGGGGTTGAGAGTATTCCTTCTAGGTATGTGGTGTCTCGGTGGACAAAGGGTGCTTGTTTGAAGCCAATATTTCATATTGATGATACAATTATTGATCAATCTTCTAAAGTGGAGAATGTAAGGATTTTTACTAATCTATTGTGGTCTGACATATATGCTTGCGTGGGCTTGGCCGATGGTAATATAGAACGTTTGGCACAGCTACGACGTGTTATTTGTGAGCAAAGGCAATTATTTCTCCAAGAGGGGAGTGAGGATGGCAGTGGAGTGTGTCTCAGGGGTCAACAGTGGAGGTGCGTCATCCTATTCAAGCTAAGAACAAGGGTAGCGGTAAGCAGTTGAAGAGTACAAGGGAGAAAGCTGCTAGTAAGTGTGTAAAGCAATCAAGGAAATGCCATACTTGTGATGAATATGGTCATAATAGTAGGACATGCCCTTTAAATGGTTAGATACAGTTGTGTAGTTTGATTTGGGACCTATATGTTTTCACAGTTGCGTACAATTCTTATAACATACAGTTATGCATTTTATTTCAGTACTTGGTGTTTTTTAACACACAGTGTGGTGCATTTAAGAATGTCGGATGTTTTTATGTTAGAATGGTGTGTTTTATTCCGTATTGTGGTGCATTTTTATATATAGAATTATGTTGTCTGTTAATTATCGTGTGGTGCATTTTATTTCATACGTTAGTGTATTGTGCAAGTAAAAGTGGAATGGTGCATGTTATTATTTATAATGGTGTTTTTGATGTGTCTTTTAAAAATGGCATACACTAATGTATTTTATTACGTTAGTTGGTGCGTTTTAATACACAATGTGGTGCATTTTTATATGTAGAATTATGTTGGCTGTAATATATTGTGTGGTGCATTTTATTTCATATGTTGGTGTATTTTGCAAGTAAAAGTGGAATGGTGCATGCTATTTTTTATAATGGTGTTTTTGATGTGTCTTTTTTTAAAATGAAGTGTATGCATGATAATACTGCATTTTATAGCAATGCAAATGCGTAAGGCATTCACAAGTACCCATCACAAAACATCGTTTGTCTAGTAGTCATATGGTCTATGCCATGCCATCACAAAAAATACTTACATGCTTGAAAGTCTTCCTAAACACCAAACTTTGCTGCATTCTATATGTTTATTTCTCTCAGTTCATTCACAACTGAGGTGATCAAGGCAGCCAAGTATCTCACTCGTAACTTGTTCAATTGTTCTTTGTTGTGTTTCTGCAATCCACAATCCCATTCTTCAGCTGACTGTCCACGGAAGGTTTCCAAATGGCGCATTAAAAAGATGCCACAATCCTTTTTGTTATGCGCATCTCTCCAAGGCATCTTCATTATCTTAGATTTCAGCTTCTTTACCTTCTCACCTTTGTACGCGGATTTCTGTTCGATCAACATATTTGAAAAGAATTTTTGCTGCATCAAGGAAGCGTACAATAATCTTAGTTTTTTGTGTCGTTGTGTATTAAATATATATAATCAGGTAGTGTTTAGTGGGTTACCAGATTGTCAAGCACATATCCGTATTTGTCCTATTTCTTCACAAGTGCTGAAGAGTTGTCAATGATGTCAAACTTTTCCATTATTGGGTTAATAGACAGCAAGTAGTAGTGGTTGGATGCCACTATGGGAAACAGAAACTGTCATAACAAAAACATACCACTTGTGTCATAATATACACCACTATATGAGTAATAATGCACCACAAATAGGCAAATAATAGAATGTACAAATTGATGTATAACAAATAGGCAAATATTATATATATATATATATATTAACATCTTACGTATACAATTTTGTGACACATGATGTCTACAGCAATCGCTTTGTCTCGAAGATACTTTTCTTTGAATCTCTTGAATCTTAAATCTTCATCTCCCTGCGGGTTCACAATTGTGTACAGGCAGTACAGCTGCAAAGTTCAATGATATATTTGTTAGAATTGTAGGGGTTTTATAGGTGTAGTTAGTTTCATATTCTTTGCTTACACTTGTCCAGGTTGAAGCAATGAATTTTGTAGATCCTCTCTCTCCTTCACGAATGTTTAGTATGGCTGCCCAAGCATCAATTATAGATACTGGAATCTTTGTATCTGGCGCCATTAATAGCATATCTCTCCAGTAGATTACCCTTTCTTCATACCTGAATAGTTCCTGTTCACTAGTAATAATGTATTGTATAAGCAACAAATATATTAATACATCAACATTATTAAATCATAAACCGAAGTTATAGCAGTAACACACCATTAGAAGTTAATATTTCATTTAATGAGAATACACCAATATATATAGAGATATACACTAATAACTATTGAGTATCACACAACACCTAAGCAACTAATGTGACCATCCGATGTGTCAACACAAACAACCATATAAACACACCAATAGTTATCGAATAATGCACTAGTTAATATATGATAATTATACACCAATATTATAATACAATGCACCAAATATATTTTAGAAGTACACCAAGTAGAATGTGTTGTGCTTACAGTTCTGGGTTAGGGTTTTCTAATACCCATTGTCTGATCGATTCCTCTGTTAAAGTTATTGGGGCTTCCAGATCAGTTGCATATATGCGGGCTTTAGGTCTGATTGGGCTGTTCCCTCTAGCTGGTCTCTTTCCTTTGTCCAATGGTTGGGGGTGGGGGTGGTGGATCTGAAGTAGGCCCTCTTGAATTTGGTCTGCTGGTATGACCTGTAACATCCAGATTTTATTTTTTTTTTCTTTTGTTCCGTCGTCAATTTAATACAGTGCATTACCTCATCATTGTTGTCAGCAGGTGCATCTGGTTGAGCCCCCTGCCCATCTTGTTGTCCTTCAGTTGCTTCTTCACCCTCATTCATATTCAGCTCAACTTCTTCATTTTCCGCAGCCTGATCAATGTTTTGGTAGTCTTGTGCAATATCATTCACGTCCGCCCAACGTCTATTTTGTTCCTCTGGTGTCAATCCAAGGCTGAAAGATGGCATATCATTTAGAAAATTTCTCTTGTTTACTGCACGGACAATCTCATCTACTGCTCTCAAGAACTCAAGGTCACTCCAGTAGGCATCCTCTCTCTGAGTAAATGTCAGTTCTCCATCCTCTTGTGCTCTGAATCCAAGCATTTGCCTAGCAGATTCAAACATCTGCTTGAATGTATCATGCTCCAATACTGCTGCAGGTGCATTTTCAATTAGCCTTGATATTCTCAGTAGACTCTGTGCAATTGACCTAGTGTGGGTGGTAATCACATCAACAAACTCCTGTACATGAAACACTATAGTATAAACACACCAATACATATTGTAGTATGCACCAAATATTTATAAAAAGTACACCACAGTCAGATCATGCACCATATTACACACAAAATGCACCAATTACCATTGCAGTGGTTGGGTTACCTGTAATCCTTGTGGCAGTGGTGGGGTCTCTTCATGTGGTTGGGGTGGGGGTGGGGCTTCACAGTGTGTTGTGATCTCCAGTGGTAAGGCAGTATCAACGCGTCCATATCCAAATCCTCCAGACTTGAGCTCATCCTGTTGTCGTTGACGGAGCAGTTTAAATGTCTAGTTATTCATGGCAAGGTAGCTTCTTGGGACAGACCTCCGGTAGAGCACCACACGGTCAACATAGAATACCTGTGATAGTGCTAATTGCCACGCAATGCGATAATTAAATAAACACGAGACCAATTAAAGCAAATAAACAACTCTTATTGATCAGAGTGAAGGCCCTAAGTACAATCTAAATGGTTGCTCTGAGTACCGACTGACTGCGGTCGGGATTCTCTAACAACAACCTATTGATCGTCAAAAAGTCCCTCACACTGTCGCTATCGCGGGACCGAATGCATAAAACAATCTAGAGAGTATGAACCAACTAAATAATATGAATTTACACCAAATATTCATTTATTCATACTTAACCAAATATGGGCAATCATAATTCAAAGAACTAAATGAATTATGGGATTAATGGCAAAAGTCAATTGCCTAGAAAATATGTTTTTCCAACATTACTAATTGATTCAAAATCACTCTCCATAACCCAGTTAATAATATTATTATTATTAATGACAAAATTGCAAACAATCAGGATAGCAATAAATTGCCATAATAATATTATCACATTAGGTAGGAGACTAAATATGAAAAAACAATGGTTAAAATCGTTAACATTTATAAACATTTTCGGATAAAATTTTAAAAACATAATAAAATTTGAAGTCCGAAAAACATTAATGTCAAGAAAATTATTTTCTGTACTAGAATATTGTCACATAAATTTATTTGGAAACAGTTTAAGACACATATCTGAATACCATAACAATATTAATGTTATAATTAATTAATTATTAATAGCAATAAGTAACATTATAATCACTATTAACATTAGTTATGACAAACTAAAGTATGGTAATGCACTTTTAATGTTTCCATTTTTCTAAAGATAAAATATGTGACTAGTCCAAATTAGCAGTTAACTGTAACTGTAGCACTAATTATCAATAACAACCATAAAAGATAATTAATGGCTGACCTTAATGATGCAAATGGCATCTCCTTATTGCGCTAACAACGATGACGATTCATAAGAGAAGAAAAACTCCAGAATTCTCCCATCTTCACTGTCGGCGTCAGTAGCCTCGATGCAGCGTCCAATGGTACATTTAAAAATTTATTTGTTGGACTTAATTACCAACATTAATAGTCATATAAAATGAAGTGGTAATCATACCAATGTACCAAATATAGTAGATTACCATGAAATAATAATTATTATGAAGAGGTAATAAATGAGATTAGCCCCTAAACTTAATAACAGTAATTAATAATGCCGAATTTAACTTAATAAATGGCAAAACTGTAATTAAGGGATGCCAAATACTAATCTCAATTTTACCACATAATAATTAATCATGACTATTATGATACTTAGGGAGACTAAAGTTAGGTAATAACCAAATTACCATTATACTGACAATATACTAACTATATTGCTTTTGCCATAAATTAAAGACTTAATATTATTATTAAGGCCCTGAAAACTATTGATAGATTAAAAATTAATCAACTTAAACAATAGTTTGTAATTTTTAACGGCCAACATAACAATTAAATCCTTAATCCTTAATGTCTCATAACAGGCCAAGACAATAATTATAGCACTTAACCACTCAAATTAGACTCATAAACCTTAATGGCCCAAGTGAATTATAACATGGATGGAAAATGGTCTAATACTGAAGTAGACCCAAAACTTAATATTATTACCAATGATGAATACCAAAGTATGGTAGTTAGTAATAATTAAAACTTAATAAACATGT